TCGCCGACTACATGGAGGCCTTTAAGACTTTCGACAGGGAGGGACAAGGATTCATCTCTGGGGCTGAGCTCAGACATCTCCTCTCCTCACTTGGTACGTGGGCGGATCTAATCATCGTTTCCTTATGCAAATCAGTTTAACATTACTGTTCTTCGTACTACATTCATACTACTTTCATACTTTTGAAGAAAGTTTAAATTTGTTGTAACGTGCCATTGTCATAAACCACGTGATCTTTTCTTGTTCAGGTGAGCGTTTGAGTGACGACCAGGTTGACGAAATCATTAGAAACACAGATTTACAAGAAGACCTTGACGGAAACATCAAATACGAGGGTAAGTTTGTAGCCAGCGGGGAGTAAATGTAAAAAGTAAAGAAACTCATTACTAACATGGAAAATAACAAGTCTGTGAACTACTTAATTCGTTTATTAGTTCACATTGTAGAATTTCTCTTTAATCACTATAGCATTTGCCAAGAGCGAGTTTGAGGTGGATTTTTATATTTTAACCTATTATGAACTTGAACCCTCTCATTAGTGAAAATTATTTGAATACTTTAAGTATTAGTTTACTAAAATTTTTAATTTTGTTCCACTTTCTGAGATTTCTCATGCAGTCCTGAATATTTTCAGGTTAACATTTCTTTATTTTTTTTCAGAATTCATCAAGAAAGTGATGGCTGGACCATACCCCGACTAAGAAGGAGACTGAAAACAGAAACTCTAACACAAGAACACATCAACATACACTTAAAACAAAAAATCCCCGTCTACAAAACATTTACAACAGTGACGTCATCGGCTGGAGAAGTTTTACGCATGCTGCTGCGATCAAGTGAAACATCATCTAAAAATCTCGGACATGCGCACTGGAATTGATTTACCATCCGGAATGCTAGGAAACATCAGAAAAAAAGAAAACCTCCAGACAGATTTCTTGCGCAAGACCTCTCCAGCTTATACATAAACTTTGCCGTCTGTTTTCTACACATCAGTCTTCTTTTAAACCGGTACCGGTTGGTTACATCATCGGTAAAGACATCATTGGGTCATGTGACCCGTAATGTACAGTTATGCTCGAAAGTTGGTATAAATGAGATGAGGTCGGAATGGATATCCCTTTTGCATCCTCTGTTGAGTGAATAGTGTATTATTTATTATTTTTCCCAAATAAAAAAAAATTGTTTTCTTTTAGACATTTTTATTTTCTTTTTGCATTACACTTCTCAATTAAATATAGAAGGATGGGTACTGCGTGCAAGAAAAAGATAAATTTTCTTATGGGCAATTTTAAAGGAAGTGTAAAGGAAAGAACACCCGTATCATATCTAATGTTGGCCTCTTTAAAAAGATTTACACCAAGTAGACGCCATGGAGGAAGTATATATACATGTATAATTATGACAGTATACTGAATAAAATGCTCAGCCTCTTTAAGGTTCATTGACCCTCTGATAAGAGAGATAACTCTCATTGGAAGAGATGACTATTATTCCTTTATAACAATGTCAAGTTTATGTCAGATTTTGCTCCATAGGAAGTCCGAACGCTAAAATTGTGTGCATTTAAGGTTCATCGATACTCTGATAAAAGAGTTAACTCTTCATGACATAAATGTCTATTATTCCTTTATAAGTTTGTCAAGTTGAAATGTCTTTTTTGTCCAATTTTACCCCGCAAGCTATGCTATAATTGTTTGTATTTCACTTAAAAAATACATTTCTTTTGGAAAATCATAAGAGTTAAAGGAACATTTTCTATGAGTGAGCAGAGGGTTTATGAACCTTATATTATATTAATTGAGACTTGTTTTAAAAAAAAATCACATTAAGCGTAATTTACAGAAACAGATGGATTAACTTATGATCCACCCACCCCGAAACTAACCGATCAACACTATATCTGCATGCACCAGGTTGTTATTTCCAAGGAACAACTGTCTCTCACAGAGAAAACTTTTTTTCATGAAAAGCATTTATCAAACAGTATATTTCATACTAGCATTTTAATTCATTCAAATAATTATCATAGTACTGTAAGTTTACTCCGAGTTGAACTTTTGAATTTGATACAGGTACGGTTGTACTGAAGACTATGAATTATAATAATTCAAAAGGAATAATATCACTTATTTTCTAGGGTGCTATTTGTAAATCATTGAGGAATTCTGGCAAATCAGAAAATAAAGAGAAAGGCAATATATAGAAGAAAAAAATCCTAACCTGGCGCCAGGATCATGAAACATCTTAAGCTTAAGTCAAAATTTTTATGTTGTGCTAAAATGTTGTAGAAGTCAAACAGACCAAACATTAATTATCAATGTTGCTTAACAAAAGTGTTATCTGCAAATTTAGAGATTAATTCAACAATTATTAAACTGTTTAAAGGCAATAGAAAATTTGACTCAAGTCTAAGTCTATTTCATGATCCTGGGGCCTGAAATATATTTATCAAAAAAGAGGGTCGCCATGTGTACTACAAGGTACACTGATGACGGAGAAAATAACACACTTAAAAAAACACAGCTTTAAGGTTAGATAAAGAAAGAGAGAGAATGTAACATAACTCCAGGCCCTTAGCAACGGTTTTAAAAGGGGGCACCCCCCCAAAAAAAAAAACCCATGACAATCAATAAACAAAAACAAAACAAAACCAAATTCGAAAAATCTATTTTCGAGGGGGGGGGGGAGGCTTCTTTCTCTACTTTTTGGTGCTAATGGACGTAATGGTACTGTCCTTTCTGACATATTTTATTTTATCAAATAAATTCTGGTAGTCATATTGCAGAATTTATTTGATAAAATAAAGTATGTCAGAAAGGACAGTACTTTATTTCACACACGCAGTGTTGCAGTCGGTTTGATTAGTACACGAAGCAATCTTACTAGAAACTTTGTATTTGAAAATAAATTTAATTCATATCATTAAAATAATAAAGTCACACTTCGGAAAAAATTGGTAACATCATAGTTATTTCTTTATTGAATCTCCAGAGTACAGATAGACAGGCAGTCAAGGAGCAAATTATGATCAGAAAATATCAATTCTGAAAGATTTACTCTTATCCCCATCTAACTAATGGCATCAGTCCTATCCTCAATTCAATTGTTGTATCTAAGTTATATAATACTTTTCCGTTGTGTTATTAATTTTTGCAGTTCGGTATTAACCAAAACAGCAACAACAACAAAATACAATTTTCATCTCATTGGTTGTCCATTTCATTTGATGATTAATTTGAGTGCTTACTATTCACGTCAGCGTCGCAAAAATCTCATACATTGCAAATTGAATGAAATAAAATTTTATTGTATTCATATAAGTATAGTAAAAATACATTTTTCTAAATATAAATTATGTACTAAAACACAGTAACAGGTATCCAGTATGCTTGCGTTTACCACGCAGATGTATCAAGAAAGATAACTCCAATTAAATTTACGGTATTTTCGGCGATATTTATGTTACAGGAATCAACAAAAAAAGAAAAGAAAAGAAAGAAAAAAAAAACAAAAAAAAAAAAACAAAAAACAAAACAACAACAACAACAAAACAAAACAAAAGAAAAACAAAAACAATACAAAAACAAAAACAAACAAACAAAAAACCTTTATGGGTTGCATACTTGTACAGAGTATACATGTAATATTTTCCAAGAACTTCAACCCCGCAATAATTTTCAGACAAAATATGGGACTTGTCTATAGTAACTATGGACATGCAGAACCCTGCACTTAAATTCACCCACTCTGTAATAAAAATATGAACATAAAACAGCAGTGTGAAAGAATGTACAGAAAATGCACCCACTATGGATCTAAGTACTGAAAGTAACCCCATACTGTAATATTTTACACAATGTGTCTCTCAATTGTATAGCGTCTGTCTGTCTGTCTGTAAACAATTTTTCAAAACGCTACTCCTCCTACAGTTTAGTCTGATTTCAATATAGCTTGGCACACGAGTAGACTACACTAAGACACATAATTCTGTAAATGTAGTTTTGATTTCGATGAACGGTGTTGCTATGGTTACTAAAACTAGAAATTTCTGTGAAATTCTTTCAAAACCCTACTCCTCCTACAGTTTTGGTCTGATTTCAATATAACTTAACAGTTAACACACAAGTAGACTACACTAAGACACATAATTAAGGAATGTTTTTAAGTTTTGTGTGAGTTATTGGTATGTAAATCACACAGACTTGTCACGTAGGCATATTTTATGAAGCGTGCTAGCGCTTCATGAAAAATATGCGTACGTGCAAGTCTGTGTGATTTACACACCAATAATTCACACTAAACTTAAAAACATTCCTTATATTTACATTTTATAGGATTAAATGCACCAAAAATGTACTAAATGTTTGAATTTCTCGCTGCCCTATATCGTCATATTGTTATTAACGTCGCTGTAGCCTCATTGTGACGTCACTTTAGCGCGAGTTTCTTCCTGTATATTTCTACGCTTGAAAGTACAAAAAATGGCTTTCAAATCAATTTCATAGCTTAGTAGAAAAACACAGCTAATGTAAATATTTCTGTGTATCGGTTTTTGGTTTCAGTGAACGGTGCTGCCATGGTTACAAAAAATAGAAATTTCTGTGAAAAATTTCAAAACACTACTCCTCCTACAGTTTTGATCCGATTTCAATATAACTTGGCACACAAGCAGACTACACTAAGATACATAATTGACTTAATTTATTTATTTTTTTTTTTGATTTTGTTGAATGCTGTTGCCATGGTTACTAAAATCGAAATTTCTGTAAAATGTTTTTAGAAGGCTACTCCTCCTACAGTTTTGATGATTGCAATAAATCTTGCCACAAAAAGAGAGTAAACCAAGGATCTTCATTCTGTTTATTGCTGTTGCAAAGTTTCAAGTCCAAGTGCTATTTTTATCTTCATTTGTTATAAGTACAAACCAGTAGAACTACAGTCTCATCAGAGACTTCTGGTTTTGTTTCTTTTTCTGTAAAAATAATTTAACACAGAGGTGTATAAAATACAATGATATCAAATCTTTATTTTCAACCTCACAGTTGTATGTACTGTCTAGTGTTGCAGTCACAAAATTATATTTTTCAAAACTTCTTATGTAAAAATGCAGTAAACACATCATGGATGCATCACAAAACAGCATTCATAAATCTAGGTCCCTGATACTCAGTATCTGGTCACAATAAAATAAAAAATAAATTTTCTTTAAGTACATTTGCTAAATTCTTGCATATACTGACTAAAGCTGGAGATTTTGTTACATGTAGCTGCCTACTCAAAGAGTTTGTGAATGTTATAAACTCAAATGAATGGAATCAGATGTTCAGCAGAAAAGTTCATAAACTGAACTGAACATTTTTCTAAAAAGAAAACTATAAAGTCCTGTCATTTTGATTAAGTCAAGACACTGTGATGCTGGCAAAATTAACAAAATGAATATCTGAAATATACTTGTAAATGATAAAAAGCTGTGTCTCACCATACAGTATACACACATACTTCAATATATTGACTAGGTTTAAATTGCAACAAATGTATCACAACACTAATGATTGGTAATGTATCCAAAATAATATAAATACATGTAACAGCTTTAATCAGATCATACAAATATAAGTTCAATTTGACATGGCAGTGTCTTAGGGTTTAACAAATAACACAGGGTAATATGTTTTCTCTTTTTTAAGTTGTATTGCCCAATGCCCAGAGCTAAAGACCAGCAGAACTGACCGCTGTGTCTACATCATACACTACAATTATCAGAGTTATTCCTCCAACTTGCGTACAAATATATAAACTGTCATAATATTGCTGCATATCAAAATATATGTACAGATCTAAATTCTGCCACCAATATAAACATAAATTATATTTTGAAAACTGACACAGTTTTCAAAAAAATGTATAAATCGCATCTTTTTCAGATCCAGGCACATTGCAGAGCATGATATGAAAAAAAATTGCACCAAGACATTTAGCATTAAAACTGAGTATATGACTACAAAATATAATCTTGTCAAGTAATAATCCAAAAATAAATATGTCAAGACTTTTTGCTGGAAAATTTAGAAACTCTTCCATTGCTAAAATTAACAATCATAACAGATATATTGTCTAGGGAACCCCTGTAGTAGGCCTGTAATACAAGGCTTTTAGCACCAAAGAGAGGCTCGTCCAGGCGATCTTTAAGGAAGTCTACCGCTTCCTGATTGGAGAACACATCCCACAAACCGTCCGAGGCTAAGATCATAAAATAGGGCTGAAGAAACCGGAGGTTAAAGGTCAGAATATCTGGAACAGCAGTCAACATTTTTGTGTCTTTGAGGGGAAAGTCCCCCAAGGCTCTAGAGGTGGCCAGGACCCCTGCTACCCTCCAGACTCCGTTAAAACTGATAAAGCCCCCCACCTCCTTAATTCTTTGTCTTTCCTTTACCTGGAAATAAGTAACATTATCAATCGTTAAACATTATCAATCATTAAACATTCAAAAGATTAATTCTAGAACAGTGTTTTTTATCCATATTTTAAAAGCAATCTTTTTTAATCCATTTTGAGAAGAATTTGAAATTTAAAAAAAAAAATGGGAAAACACAGTTAATTTGGGGGGAAATGACCAAATTTTCAATGGTAAAATGCATTTACACACATATTTAGATGTGATTTGGGGTTGTGAAAAACACTATTGAAACACCTATTTAACAATGTTTGTTAATTCAAATTGTTTCAGTGATAAAATTCCTGCAGACATACATGTAAGCAGCTCTAACATACTCAGTATTCAACAGTAATAGCTTCTTTGGAGTTACAATTATATAACATCTTGGACAGTCCTAAATGGTCTTATTTTATAGCAGTGCAAGAAAACATCATTTTGTTTCAGTTTAGAATACTTGTTCAAGTCATGAACTTGGTGGGAAGCATTATAGTCTTAACTGTAAAACCATATATAATTACGTTGTATGGTTTATGGTCATAAGACAGAGGTATCGCTGTTCCATTTTTATCACAGAGTACGCCCCTGGAATCACCAACATTGGCCACTGTTAGGATATCCCCTCGCAGAAATGCAAACAATGCTGTGGTACCTAAATAAAAAATATAAAAGTGGTGCAAAATACCACATAAAAATAACCAAATAGTGCAGTCATACCTTAAGACTAAAAATGTCACAATCATATCAAAATCAGTGAGTGGTTCTTCTAAAATAAGAAATATAAGTCCCCCCCCCCCCCAACTAAAAAATTTGAACTCTTGGTCAATGGCTGAAGTTTCTGCACATAAAAAAAAACACATAATACATTTCTTCTCATATTAATAAATTATTATATGAATGACAAATTAAATCCTTCCAAAGCCAATATGGAACTCATAGAGCCAGCTCTTACAACTGGTTTCTGTGGTACTGAGTGGGTAAGAGTCTTGCACTCCCAGGCCCGTAGGAAGCAATTTCAGTTGGGGGAGGGGGCACAGCCATACATTTTCAGTTGAAGGGGCATTCAACTGACAAGCAGAAAAAAAAGGTCATCAACTACCAAAAATTCCTTGACAAGCAAAAAAAAAAAGGTCATTAGACGTTCTTATTGAGGGCGCACAAGCATATAGTATCTACATTTACTATAGTAATCTATATATCGGCAAAATTATTGGGGGACACAGCCCCCTGTGCCCCCCCCCCCCCCAGTTCCTATGGCTTTGACTCCCCATGATGGGACTCCAATCCATCATAGGTTAACACCCAGCATAAGCCAGTACTCATTTTCAGGTGGGTGGACTTTAGTCATTGTAGATAAAGTGCCCTATCCAAGGACATAACACAACATCTAGTGCTGATAGTGGGATTTGTACCAGTGATCTTTTGGTTAGTGACTAAACACTTACGACCACTGAGCTATGTTTACCATGTGTGAATGATAAGCAAGCTACGGGGGGTAATAATTCATCACATGACCTTCCCTGATAATCACATGACTTTACCTGATATGTCAGAATTATTCCTAGCAATCTGCATCAGCTGTGTATCCACTCGTAACACCTCATCTATTATCATCTCAGTAAAATTCCCGGTCTGGTCGTCTAACGAGGAACTCATTATCCGAATCATTAAGTACTTAAAGAGAGTTTTCTCTGTAAAATCAGCAGCAAACTGTAAAACAATAAGAAAACAAATCAACAATATTCTGAAACTTACCAATGAAAGATGAGAAAACATAAAACTACTGTAAGACAATGGAAGACATTCCTGTTATGTTTGTAATAGGAAGGGAGAAAATATGACAAGTCAGGATTCAAACCTGTGTCCCCTGAACCTAAGACAAGTGCTCTACCAGCTAAGCTATCTGGTCACTGGCAATCAAACCTATCATACTGCTCCAAACTAAGGGTTACTCAAATAATATTAAAAATTTTTGTTCTCATATGAATAGGTTGGCTTTATCTCATGAGTGACTTTACCATACCTCCCCTCCATGTCCATCAAAAATGCCATAAATAGATGTCCCAGTTTCTTCCAGGTCTATGACGATGTTAAACCTGTCCTCCATGTGGGGCCTCCTCCCCTGTATAGCATAGGCTGCCGCTCCCTCTTTCTGTAGTTCCCATGACACTCCAGTAGACTGCTGCGGCATGAGAACATTGGGGTGTTTATTTGTCTGTCAAGAAGTAGATCATCGATGCAAACACACACAGGGAACAATTTAGAGCATGAGGTATGTCCATGTGTGATTTGTTCATTTTATATACAAAAACCATAAAAGATTGCAAAAAAATTGAAAATAAGTGAGTCTTTAGTTTTCATTTTCTTTTTTCTTTTCTTTTAATCAAATCATTTATTATTTTTTAGCTGTAAAAAAAGCAAAGTAAGCAAATATGGCTCACTAGTACCTGAACAATTCTTTTATTGTGATTTATACCTGCATGATATGTGTCATGAATATTCATGAACACTGCTAACAGGCTAATGACCAAGTGACAGGTAAGCAGTTGGAACAAAAGCCAAAGGTAAAATCCGAGATTATCTCTCATAACTTATAACTTTTATGCTTACACCTGACATTTCACTGACCTTATTTTTTACTGCATCGTTTCTATTCTCTCTGGAGGGAAATATGTACCTCCACAGGGGGTTCGAATTGTAGACAGAGTGATACAAGAAAAACACCAGGCACAGAAACAACAAAGCTTCGACACTGAACAGGTACTTCCTCAGAAATCTACTGAGGAGGGATACAACAGTCATTCTGTCATCGCGAGGGATGTGTTCAGGAGAGCATCGTCTGATGGTCCCACTCGCAAGAGAGCCGAGAGGATGTTGTTGTCAAAAAATGAAAGATGGCGGTAAAACTAGTGGAAAGAATTGCCTTCGAGTTTACAATTATAAAAGATCAGGAGCAATTGAATTTTGCTAATTTTAATGTTTTTCAAATGAAATAAAACCATGCTTATGATATGAAACAAAAAATAAATATTGAGTCACTTATATTGTTCGTAATACACTATTAAAAGTGCCACATCCTGAATGTAGATGTACCCAATGCTTTGTATGGGTTTCCAGATATTTCGGACCTTTGCTAGTTCGGCCCTATTAACTATTGATGATCATAAAAATCAAAAATCTCTGAAATTCGCAGTTTTATAAATCGTATTTCAATGCTTTTATTTACATTGAAAAAAGTTTTTTAACTGTGAATTTCAGCGATTTTTATTTTAATGAGTACATGTATATATCAGGTATATTTAGACAGACATACACAAAATACAAAACCTTCCGTTGCATTAAACCGAGCCCCTGATGGTTTCTGTCAGTAAAACATGTAAATGTTTTAGCTCATATTATTGGGTTAATTAAAACAATTATGACAGAAACAAGTGCCTGTGGATATTACGCATAAATGAATGAATAAACGCATAACTTTCGCGGAAGAATAAAAGTTTTGCGAATAAATTGGAAACTAATTTAAAAAAATAGATAAACAAACAAACAATAATAATAATAATAATAATAATAAAAAAAAATAAAATTAAAACAAAAACAAAGCAAAAGAAACGAACAAAGTGCCCAAACACACAAACACAAAAATCCATTTAAGACTGTTGGATACATGGTGTATTTTGTGTATCGTGTGTTTTTCATGTCTGATTAAACACACTTCAAAATTAAAAAAAAAACGCTGAAATTTAATTGCATTTTAAAAAGATATCATATTTCTATATATATGAAAAAGTGGACCATCCGCACAAATGGTGGGAAGATTTTACATATATGCACATTTTGCATCAGGATGCATTTTAGCGCATTTGAACGGTATTGGGGAGAGATTTGCTCGTGAGCATTTCCACTCCTAGTGTAAAATTTACATCTAGTCAAATTAGGTGTAAAATTAACTTTTACATACGAGTTAATTTACTCCTGGTGTATTTTCGGTGATGTGAACGCGTAGCAAAATTTACAAATACAAATACAAATATTTATTGGCAAAAACACAATTACAATAATTGGCAAAGGCCCACTGAACATTATTTGATAATGTTTACATACTTTTTATGTAGTATTATGTAATTGACTTCTAAATTTCACAGTAACTTTTAAGACGTTATGTATATAACTGTTTACATATAATTGTAACATGTATCTTTCATTGTAAAGATTAATATTTTTCTTTGTTATGTTATAAATATTTCTAAGGTATGTGTTTCTTAGCTTAGAATAAGATTTACAGTGAAAAGAAAATGAATTTCATCCTCAATCACATCAGTATTGCAAGCATTACAACGTCTTTCATTTGTTGGTGTGGAATATATCTACCACTTCCTATTGCAAGTTTATGTGCACTAAACCTAATTCTACTAAGAGAGGATCTCTGAGATCTTTTTCTGAGTAAATCAACAAATAGACTTCTTTTTCTTGAGTATAATTTTTTATAGAATTCAAGTTTTTCTGAACCAAAGATTTTTATGCCCCCGTAATCGAAGATTCGGGGGCATATAGTTTTTGCCCTGTCCGTCTGTCTGTCTAGCTGTCTGTCTGTCTGTCCGCAAAAACTTTAACCTTGCCCATAACTTTTGATTGGTTGGAGCTATGGCTTTCATATTTCACGTGTGTATTTCTTGTGACAAGACCTTTCTTTGGGTACTATAAAATTTGACCTTTTGACCTGGACCTTGGAGTTTGACCCACTTTTGAAATTTTTTTAGACTTTAACCTTGGCCATAACTTTTGAATAGTTGGTGCTAGGGCTTTCAAACTTCACATTTATATTCTTTGTGACAACACCTTCCTTCACATACCAACAACTTTGACCCTTTGACCTTGGAGTTTGACCTACTTTTGAAAAAAAACTCCGTTAACCTTGGCTATAACTCTTGAACGGTTAGAGCTAGGGCTTCCATCCTTCACATATGTAATCCTTGTTACATGTACTCGGACTTCCTTTGAATACCAACAACTTTAAAATTTGACCCTTTGACCTTGGAGTTTGACTTACTTTTGCAAAACTTTAACCTTGGCCATAACTTTTGAACGGTTGGTGCTAGGGCTTTCATATTTCACATATATATGTAATCGTTGTGACAAGACCTTCCTTATGATAACAACAACTTTGACCCTTTCACCTTGGAGTTTGACCTACTTTTGAAAGACTTTAACGTTGGCCATAACTTTTGAATGGTTGGTGCCAGGGCTTTCATATTTCACATGTGTATTTCTTGTTAGAAGGCCTTTCCTTGGGCACTATTAATTTTGACCATTTGAACTTGACCTTGATGTTTGACTTACTTTTGAAAATCTTTAAATTTTTCCATATCTATTCAATCGTTGCTGCTAGGGTTTTATATTTCGCAGGTATATTCCTCGAAAAAGACCTTACTTTGGGTACCAACATATTTGATTTGCATTTGAGAAAGTTTAACCTTTGCTATAAGTTGCCATATGGGGGCATCAGTGTTTCACAAACACATCTTGTTGATGTTTGCTCTTGAGTGCACTGGTCAATAATTCTTTGCTTTATGCTGGGTAAAAGGTGTTGAATGGAACCTTTATATTTTGCAATGTTTGAAAATCCCAGATTATCTAGAATAGAAAATGATTTCTTAGTCCAAGAATTGCAATTACTTGTGGATTGGTAAAGTTTAAAAGCCAAAGAATCAGAAATTTTCAACTTTTAAATTCTGCAAGACAACCAGTATTGGGTGTTTTGCAATGCACTCCAAGAATATCTTTAATAAATTTTAAGTGAAATTTTTCTTTATCTGAAATATCTTTGAATGAGAGAATCCACTCCCCATATTTCACTACAATAGAGAAGAACTGGAAGTACAATAGCATCAAAAAGTTTTTCTTAAAGCTTACAAGGGTTACATGTATCAAAACCAATAATTCTTTTCATTTTAAAACATGCTTTTCTAGCTTTTTCAATAAGCACAACTGTTGCTAAATTAAACCTCCTATTACATGTACATTTCATCGTATTACCTAAATAGCAATATTTTGGTACAATTTGTATTGTATTACCATTGAAATAAAATTCATTCCCTTGAGGCTTGCCATTCGAGTTATATATCATAACTTCGGATTTATCTACATTGACTTGCAGTTTCCAGTTGAAACAATAGTTACTGAGAATATCAAGGCTAGTTTGTAAACCACTTCTGCTTTCAGAAAAGATTATAATATCATCAGCATATAAGAGACAATTTACATGGATATTGTTTACCTGCACAGGGTCATATTTTCCATTTTTCAAGTCACTGACAATACCATCAATAAATACATTAAAGAGCGTGCGGCTTAAGACATCTCCTCCACACTCAGAATTGGATACATCACTTAATCCATCAGAAAATTTTATTCTACTTATTTTGTAACTATACATAGAAAATAAAATATTAAACATATTTTGGGAAATATTAGATTCAAGGAGTTTATGAAATAAACCTAATCTCCATACAGTGTCAAATGCTTTTCTAAGATCAATAAAAGCAGCATAAACTTTTTTGTGTTTGTAATGGTCAATTATTGTTTTACACAAGACTAGAAATATTGAAATTATCAATGAAATATAGCATCAATGATTTCCTTAAAATGATTCTTTTTTAATATTGGATGGAGCAGTGATCTTCTGTTAATTGTAATATTAAGTCCAATTATCATTTAAAGTAGCATTTAAACCATCGTCTCAACATCAGGTTTTCTTTTCAAGAAAGAGGAAAATGACGACGTAATTGTTTTGTCCATAACTTGACATGAAAACCTCGCAGATATTATACTGGGTTCTTGTTGCTTTTAGTACAATTGTTCAGCGACAGTATCTCGGTATCTTCCTAGGTTCATTACATTGGTCGCCTCACTAAATAACTAGGTAAAGTACCAAAGTACATTGTGGAGCATCTTTGCTAGCCAAAGGTCTACTCTACTACAAGTAGATTTCGGATCGGAAACCCTTGGCTAGCGAAGATAAGGCCCGTAGGAATCAATTTCAATTTGGGGGGGGGGGGGGGCACAGTCATATATTATCAGTTGGAGGCACTATAAACTACCAAAAATTCCTTGACAAGCAAAAAAAAAAGGGGGGGAATTCGAAGGGGTGGCAACAGACGTTTTATTGAGGGGGCACATGCATATAGTAGCTATGCTTTCTATAGTATACTATAATATATCGGCAAAATTATTGGGGGCACACCCCCCCCGTGCCCCCCCCCCCCGGTTCCTACGGCCATGAAGATGATTGTGGAGCTCATCAACATCAATCAACCTGGTCGTTCTCTTAGATCAGTAAACAAGCAGACACTGCGAAGACCGCAATGTAAAACTTCCACATATGGCAATCGAAGTTTAGATGTGGCTGCAGCGTCCCTCTGGAACTGTCTACCTTCATATCATCTGTGCACACTTTTAAAAGATTTCTTAAAACCCATCTTTTTAGGGAGGCATTTTGTTAATTTTTTTTTCATTGACAGGGATTCTTTTTTCAAGTGGTAATTTATGTACAAGATCACGTCAGTGACTCTTAAATTGATTATTTTATTATAATTATTTTTTTCTGCTCGTACTGTATTTTGATTCTTATTTTAAAACCTTAGATCCGTCAACTATTTCATATTTTAAATTTTTATAATTGTAATAAATACTGAATTTTTATCTCCGATGTCATTCAACATTCCTTTTATTCCTTATAATGTTTTTTATATTTAGAAATGTATTTTTACTAAATGAAATCCCACGCAAGCGCGGGGAATTGAATTTATACCACTACCGACAGAAAATATATAATTGTAGTTTCTACTGACAGCCTACAGGCCTACAGGCTTATAGCAGGAAGAAATACTTCGTTCAAAATCCCGC